GCTGCAATACAGCGGCAACAAACAAGGAAAAAAAAGGAAAAAGAGGTCTACCAAAAAAAAGAGAGAAAAGTAAAAGAAAAAAAGAGAAAGTGGCGTCAGCCACTTTGTTGGGAAAGCCTTGGCAGGTTGTTGTTGTTGGCAACAACAAACAAAATTTGAGAATGGTTGGTCTCTTGGCGTGTGAACAGGCAAGGAAGAAATTTTATAAAAAAAAAGATGCAAGGAAACAAGACTCACCGTTTGTTTTCTCTCCCAGTTTGCTTTGCACCAGCAGATTTGTTTTGAAGTCCTGTGTAATCGGTCAAAGGGCTTTCATGAAATATCTGAGTTAATCTCAAGTACACCAATAAATATGGAGTTGCAAAGCCTGGTTACATCCGGAAACAAGCTCTACAAGAGTTCCATAGTTATCAGGTTTGGCTTCAATTGGCTGCTGGACCAAAGTTCTTCATGGGCTCCTTGCTCGTGGGCTAGCTGACAACAAATATCAAATGCCCAAAAATGGATTGATGGGCTATCAAAAATAATTGCCCATTAATTCTTGAAAGCCCAGAATATTTAGTGGGAATTACCTATTAAATTTTAGAGGCCCAAATTTCCTATTATATGGTTAATAGATTAATTTCCTCATAGCCATACTTGGGATCCAAATGCAAACGTCAATTTTAGAAAATTAGTGAGTTAACCAAAATCGCTCATTATTTTTCTTGGATATTAACAAAAAGAAAAATGGTACAAAACCATCCGGAATTTTCTCATGGGTCATCTACCCATGCAAATTCCAATGAGATTAAATGCAAATCTTTCAAACAGAAATTCTCAATTAGTGGGCCACACTTACCCATTACTTTCCAATTTTTCTCATAGGTCATCTACCTATGAAAATCTCCAAATTGTCTCAAAGACACAAATTCTCAATTAGTGGGCCACACTTACCCATTAATTTCCAAATCTTTTTGGAACTACGCCGGTTTGATCCCATCAAGGGTACGTAGGCAGTCTAACATACCAATAGACGCAACCGGAACCAAATTCCCACCAATCAAATCTCTATACAAATCTTTTTGGAACTACGCCGGTTTGATCCCATCAAGGGTACGTAGGCAGTCTAACATACCAATAGACGCAACCGGAACCAAATTCCCACCAATCAAATCTCTATACAAATCTTTTTGGAACTACGCCGGTTTGATCCCATCAAGGGTACGTAGGCAGTCTAACATACCAATAGACGCAACCGGAACCAAATTCCCACCAATCAAATCTCTATACAAATCTTTTTGGAACTACGCCGGTTTGATCCCATCAAGGGTACGTAGGCAGTCTAACATACCAATAGACGCAACCGGAACCAAATTCCCACCAATCAAATCTCTATACAAATCTTTTTGGAACTACGCCGGTTTGATCCCATCAAGGGTACGTAGGCAGTCTAACATACCAATAGACGCAACCGGAACCAAATTCCCACCAATCAAATCTCTATACAAATCTTTTTGGAACTACGCCGGTTTGATCCCATCAAGGGTACGTAGGCAGTCTAACATACCAATAGACGCAACCGGAACCAAATTCCCACCAATCAAATCTCTATACAAATCTTTTTGGAACTACGCCGGTTTGATCCCATCAAGGGTACGTAGGCAGTCTAACATACCAATAGACGCAACCGGAACCAAATTCCCACCAATCAAATCTCTATACAAATCTTTTTGGAACTACGCCGGTTTGATCCCATCAAGGGTACGTAGGCAGTCTAGTATCCCAATAGACGCAACCGGATCCACACAAAATCCCAAGTGGTACAAAACCACACCAAAATCCCAAGTGGTACAAAACCACGCCAAAATCCCAAGTGGTACAGAACCATGCAAAGATTGTAATTAAGAGACTTGCGTCTTGAATGGGTCGAACCTAAAATAATAAAACCCCATTTATTTAATTAGTGGTGGTGAAATTGTGTTGGGAGGCTCACATTTATCTTCAACATAGGTAATGGGGTGAAGTAAGATAACACAAGAGGAGAAAACAAGTTGTGTAATTGTAAGTGGTAAAAGCTAGAATTCTATG